GTGTTGTTTTTCGCCTGTCCGTAGTGCTGCGTGTTTTTGTATCTGTTTCGTTGTTTAATGTAATACGCATAGTTTGCGTATTGCTCGCCTCTGTTTTGTTTTGAGGCCGTTTACTGTATCTTTGCCTAGTGGTTTCACAGTAAACTTTGTTGGACTAAGCTTCGGTGTCCTGCGCCTGACTCCCACACCACATACACCTCAGCCTTGACACGGGATCGTCTGAGAACAGCCACCTGGACAGCTGAGGAGTATTTCTGTCTGTAATAAAGCCCTTTTATGGTGAAAAACTAATTCTGATTGGCTGGGCCTGCCTCCCAAGTGGCTGGGCCTATGCCCTCCCAGTCATGTGAAATCCATAGATTATGGCCTGATTTGTTTATTTCAATTGACTGATTTCCTTCTGGGAACTGTAGCTCAGTAAAATATTTGAAATTGTTGCATGTTGCGTTTATATTTATGTTCAGTATATTCCACTCTTCATCTCCCCATTATTCATGCGCTATCTGTATAATCATCAACTCAATTTTGCCAAATATAGGAGATATTCTGTCATTCGTTGAAGGAGGTTATTCTAGCAAGCTTAGCAACTTTGGTCAATTGACTTTTGCCTACTCGGGTGCGCTCTGTGCGTCCTGACCGCGCTGCAAGTGTTGGCGGTTCCGTCTTGTTGAGTCCCCATGCTATGTTTGTACGACAAAGGACTGTGGTGTGAAGCTCTTACTTTGGATGACTCAGGTCGTTTTCCACTCTTTCTCTCCATCCGTTTTCAAGCGAACCTTGTAGCTCATCTGCAGAGCAGGAGGTGGTCTGGTAGAGTACCTCCTGTTGTACATTTTCTCATAGGCGCGTCTGACTTTGGCGTCATTGTGCTTTACAGTGGCCAGGTTTGGCCATGCTGGCTTCAGGTTTTGTTTCAGAGCAGGAACTGTCATGTGGAGTCTCCTTCCCATAAGGAGTCTGGCTGGACTTTCTCGTGTTGGTTCCGTTGCAGTGTCCCTGTAGCTTATTGGCGCGAGCTGTGAATTTTAGGATGACTTTTGCCATTTTCCCGTTCCACCATCCCGTTTGCTTGGGGATAGTATGTACTTGAAGTTGTGTGTTTGAAGTCGTACTTGGCTGCGAAATCTCAAAGTTGCTGCGATTTAAACTGTGGGCCATTGTCCGTCACCATTTCTTCAGGTATTCCGAACTTTGCGAAGATGCTTTGAAGTTTTCCGATGACTGCCTCACTAGATCTTGAGCCACCAAGAGTAGTAGTCCATGAAGACTAGGAACGTTTTCCCCTTGAACTCGCAGAGGTCTGCTGCCAACTTCACAAATTCACTTTTCAGCAGGACAATAACCTAAAACACAAGGCCAAATATACTTCCTTACCAAAACAACATTGAATGTTCCTGAGTCGCCTAGTTACAGTTTTGACTTAAAATCGGCTTGAAAATCTATGGCAAGACTTGAAAATGGCTGTCTAGCAATGATCAACAACTACCTTGACAGAGCTTGAAGAATTTTTTAAATAATAATGTGCAAATATTGTACAATCCAGGTGTTCAACGCTCTTAGAGACTTACCCAGAAAGACTCACAGCTGTAATAGCTGCCAAATATGATTCTAACATGTTTTGACTCAGGGGTGTAAATGAGATATTTCTTTATTTCATTTTCAATAACATTTGCTACAATTTCTAAAAACATGTTTTCACTTTGCCATTATGGGCTATTATGTGTAGATGGGTGAGAAAAACATAAATGTAATCCATTTTGAATTCAGGCTGTAACACAACAAAATGTGGAATGTCAAGGGGTATGAATACTTTCTGAAGGCACTGTATGATCCTTTCCATAGCCTGGACGTCTGCTTCCAGCCTTGTATCGTCCATCTCTGGTTTGGGGTGCCTAGACAAGGCATCGGCGATGACCAGGTTCTTCCATTCTTCCCTCGATGGGGTTAAACTTCATCAACTAGAATTAGCAGCCACTGACATCGAAGGGGTGCTTTGTCCAGGTCTTTGTTGTTTATCAATGTCACCAGTGGTTTGTGATCTGTGATCAAGCGATAGTTCTCCAGCCCTCACAAATGCTGGTAAATCTTTTCTGATGCCCACACGCCTGTGAGACACTCATTCACAATCTCTTTTCAGCGTTACTGTGTGTACGTGAGCAGAAAGCTACCGGCTTAAGGGTGCCGTCGTGTTCTTGTACCCCACCCAAGCCGTAGCTGCTTGCATCTGCGTTTACCACTGTTGAAGAACTGGTACAATTGCACTGATGAGATCAGTGCTTTGACCTTCTCAAAGAAAAATTGCCCCTAAAAATCAACATCTCCTTTTGAAAACAGCCTATGTGGCATCGATATGAGCCAGAAACCTTTATTCTATGCTCAAAATTGACTACAAAGCGTAAATAGGATAATTTTGGTCATAAAGTCAATCTTGTCCAAAACTGAGTTTTGTAAGTGAGTTCGTCACAACTTACTTGGGGGTTTAGTATGCCCAAAATGCCCAATTGTTAGAGACAACATGTTGTGGACAATGTTGTCAAGTCTGCATATCGGTGCAACGCACGCACATTTTGCTCGGCAAATAGGAGTAAAAATGGCTTTAGCTGTGGCTTACTAGTTAAGCTGTTGTACATTGTTTCACTCATGATTGACGTGTCGGCCCTGTGTCTATTTTGAAGTTAACTGCTGTTCCAGCAATAACTAGTGTTGTGCAACATGGGGGTTCATTGTCTGTAATTGCAGTGTCTACAGAAGCACTGTTCTCTATGGGGCTTTCATTCGCAGATCCTAGATACAAGCTATCCACTTCCTCAGTAACTCCATGAACTGACTTTGTGTGGCACATTGCGGCGAAATGACCCAGTTTGTGACATTTGTTGCATTCCTTATCCATAGCAGGACATTCATCTCTATTGTGTGCACGCCCACGCCCACACCTGCCACATCCATTTCTCCCCCTATGACTGCTCTGATTAGGTTGTCTGTAGACCCTTGGCTAGCAGGGCAGCAGGTAGCTTAGTGGTTAGAGCATTGGGCCAGTAACCGAAAGGTTGCTGCTTCAAATGCCCGAGCCGACAAGGTGCAAAAAGTTTCCTTTAGCAAGGCACTTAACCCGAATTTGTTCCAGGGGCGCCACACTACTATGGCTGACACTGTAAAACAACAAGTTCACTGCACCTTTCCGGTGTATGTGACAATAATACTTTTCTTAGCATTAGCTCCACATGCCTGTCTTTTCCATATGGGTATAGCTTTTAGCTCATCAGCGTGTTCTGCTGCGCTAGCTTCACTTTTCAGACTTTTCACGAGCTCCCAATCTCTAGCTATATCGGCAGCTTTTTTCAATGTTAAGTCACTCTGCATTTGCAGCTTCAGTGAGAGATCTTTATCTCTGTTACCGATAACAAGCCCGTCTTGGATTTCATCTTCTTTTTGCCAGAAATCCCAATGAGCATCTAGCTCATACAAGTGCCTGATATATGTTTCTACAGTCTCATTAGGTTCCTGCACTCTGGTATGCAAGCAGGCTCTCGAGAAAATGACATCACGTTTTGGTACAAAATGTTCATCAAACAACTGGATTATTCCATAGTAGAGGTCTTCACGGATCCACCTGTACTCGAATACCCGATCCGGGACCCGATCCGGATCCAGAATTCTAAATAATGTCACGGGTCCGGGTCGGATCTGATGTCATTTTAACTGACTTGTCCAGAAGGACCCGTACAGATCCGAACGGGACTGCTGCAGTAGATAGAGAGAGAAATTGTATATTTATGCTGCTGCACTTGCTTTTCACGAGAGTGGCGCGTGGAGCTTGTTGTTGTTGTTGGTCAATCATAAGTCATCAAAGCAGCAATAGGCTACAGTCATAGAGCCTGCATGTGTGGCAAAAGTTAGGAGATATCTAATCAATGGAAGATGGAATTAAAATTACAGAATTAAAAGTTACATGAGAAAGATAGGCTACAACAACCAAGTCAAGACAGGTACTACTTAATCATATTTGATGATAAATCACCTAGCTATGGTAGCTATTGCTGCCTCTCGCCTCTCCCTCCCTGCTCCTCGTGTCACTCGCTCACAGTACGGCCCCTCCCCCGCATCTCTCTCCCTACACTCGCACTTTATCAGCTCTGTTTAATGAAGTAGCTCAAACTATTTATTTTCTGCTGCTTCCATCACTCGAATCAGATCAGACCGGGTCTGGATCCGACCAGGTCTATACAAAACGGATCTAGTTGTCCTCTGGTCCATTCGGAACGGGTCTCTAAATTTCGAAAAATATTTATACATATTGGGTCCGGGTGGGAAAGCCCCAGGACTATTTTGAAGACCCCAGGACCATTTTGAAGACCTCTACTCCATAGTCGTTTTCCTCATCATCATCCTCAAAATCAAACAATCGGTAGAGCTGCTTGGACTCCGGGCCCATTGAATAAATCAAGGCACTTGGACTTCTTTCGGCTCTTTGTTCAATTTTGTGGCTGTACGGTACCTCACAAAACGTTGTTTCCAGTCCGGTCATTCCTCTGGCTTGGCAAATATGAGCTGGTCCGGCGCCGAGAACTTCGCCATTCTTGTCTTTTTCCACGAAGGTAAGTTGACGTTTCAATCATTGCTTTATTTCTTACACCATGTAAAGTTCCGCTGTCGTACTGTCTAACTGTATTAACGTGTATAAACGTATGAATGAAACAATATACCGGGAGCTATCTTTATGCGTCTTTATTGCTGAACATCATTGGTCGAACTGCGCATGTCTGGCAGTGTGTGCTTGAACTTGACCTAATGTCATTCCATAGCTATTAGCTTATCAGCATATCGCCACAGGTGCATAGTCGACAAGTGCATTGCATTTCACTTTTAAAGGTAATTTACACTTGAGCCGACATCCGCAGCGTTAATCATGAATGCGATCTCTGAGAATATTAGGGATTTTGACCTTAAAAGGCACATTGTCGGTAGTACAGTGCACAGTGCTGCAATGTGCCTTTTAATCAACCCCGGCCTTGGTTAAGAAAATGAAGAAACTGGCCCAATTTGGCAACCAGGCCGCCCACGACTAGAATTCCACTAATGACTGTGGGTGACATAGTCATCAACTCACCAATAAAATCGTTGGATTTCCCTAGGTCGTAGTCCCAGACGGTGACCTCCAGAGTTTTGGTGGACAGCTCCGTGAAGGAGATCTCATAGAAGAACTCCTGCAGAGCCAGGGGACGGATGGTGGGTCAAAAGGCAATCATTAACAAGAGATAGAGAGAAGAAAAAAAAATAGGTCCTATGAGGATAATTAATATAGAAATCTAGTAACTTGGGTAGAAAAAGTCAAGCAATGAAAGAAACATAGATTCACACGGTTGAACAGCTTTCAACAGTGTGCTGGTAACAATTTATTTCATTTCCTTATGAGGATGGTAACAGATTCAGTTTCTCATCATTGGTCCTGTGGCAGCCAGTGTGTTTGCTGAATTTCACTCCAGTTTAGCCAATTTTAAATCGACAACATACAGTACTTCACTGTATTGTCGTCGATCCTACATCCTAGGACCTATGCAGTTGCGTTCAAAATGTGTTTAGCTGCATTAAATACACTTTATGACCAACAGTATGTGGACACCTGCTCGTCAAACTACTCATTCATTGCCATTAACATGGAGTTGATCCCCCTTTCCTGCTATAATATCCTCCACTCTTCTGGGAAGGCTTTCCACTAGATGTTGGACCATTACTGCGAGGACTTGCTTACATTCATTCACAAGAGCATTAGTGAGGTCGGGCACTGATGTTGGGCGATTAGGCCTAGCTCGCAGTCGGCGTTCCAAATCTTCCCAAAGGTGTTCGATGGGGTTGAGGTCAGGGCTCTGTGCAAGCCAGTCAAGTTCTTCCACAACGATCTCGACAAACCATTTCTGTATGGACCTTGCTTTGTGTACGGGGGCATTGTCATGCTGAAACAGGAAAGCTTTACACCACTCCAGCCGACGCTTGGCATTGCGCATGGTGATCTTAAAGGCTTGTGTGCGGCTGCTCGGCCATGGAAACCCATTTCATTAAGCTCCCGACGAACAGTTCTTGTGCTGACGTTGCTTCCAGAGGCAGTTTGGAACTCGGTAGTGAGTGTTGCAACCGAGGACAGACGATTTTTACACGCTACGTGCTTCTGCATACAGTGGTCCCGTTCTGTGAGCTTGTGTGGCCTACCACTTCGCAGCTGAGCCGTTGTTGCTCCTAGATGTTTCCACTTCACAATAACAGCAGTTACAGTTGACCGAGGCAGCTCTAGCAGGGGAGACATTTGACGAACTGACTTGTTGGAAAAGTGGCATCCTATGACGGTCCCACGTTGAAAGTCACTGAGCTCTTCAGTAAGGCCATTCTACTGCAAATGTTTGTCTATGGAGATTGCATGGCAGTGTGCTCGATTTTATACACCTCTCAGCAACAGGTGTGACTGAAATAGCCGAATCCACTAATTTGAAGGGGTGTCCACATACTGTTGTGTATATATATATATATACAGTGGGGGAAAAAAGTATTTAGTCAGCCACCAATTGTGCAAGTTCTCCCACTTAAAAAGATGAGAGAGGCCTGTAATTTTCATCATAGGTACACGTCAACTATGACAGACAAATTGAGAAGAAAAAAATCCCGAAAATCACATTGTAGGATTTTTTATGAATTTATTTGCAAATTATGGTGGAAAATAAGTATTTGGTCACCTACAAATAAGCAAGATTTCTGGCTCTCACAGACCTGTAACTTCTTCTTTAAGAGGCTCCTCTGTCCTCCACTCATTACCTGTATTAATGGCACCTGTTTGAACTTGTTATCAGTATAAAAGACACCTGTCCACAACCTCAAACAGTCACACTCCAAACTCCACTATGGCCAAGACCAAAGAGCTGTCAAAGGACACCAGAAACAAAATTGTAGACCTGCACCAGGCTGGGAAGACTGAATCTGCAATAGGTAAGCAGCTTGGTTTGAAGAAATCAACTGTGGGAGCAATTATTAGGAAATGGAAGACATACAAGACCACTGATAATCTCCCTCGATCTGGGGCTCCACGCAAGATCTCACCCCGTGGGGTCAAAATGGTCACAAGAACGGTGAGCAAAAATCCCAGAACCACACGGGGGTACCTAGTGAATGACCTGCAGAGAGCTGGGACCAAAGTAACAAAGCCTACCATCAGTAACACACTACGCCGCCAGGGACTCAAATCCTGCAGTGCCAGACGTGCCCCCCTGCTTAAGCCAGTACATGTCCAGGCCCGTCTGAAGTTTGCTAGAGTGCATTTGGATGATCCAGAAGAGGATTGGGAGAATGTCATATGGTCAGATGAAACCAAAATATAACTTTTTGGTAAAAACTCAACTCGTCGTGTTTGGAGGACAAAGAATGCTGAGTTGCATCCAAAGAACACCATACCTACTGTGAAGCATGGGGGTGGAAACATCATGCTTTGGGGCTGTTTTTCTGCAAAGGGACCAGGACGACTGATCCGTGTAAAGGAAAGAATGAATGGGGCCATGTATCGTGAGATTTTGAGTGAAAACCTCCTTCCATCAGCAAGGGCATTGAAGATGAAACGTGGCTGGGTCTTTCAGCATGACAATGATCCCAAACACACCGCCCGGGCAACGAAGGAGTGGCTTTGTAAGAAGCATTTCAAGGTCCTGGAGTGGCCTTGCCAGTCTCCAGATCTCAACCCCATAGAAAATCTTTGGAGGGAGTTGAAAGTCCGTGTTGCCCAGCAACAGCCCCAAAACATCACTGCTCTAGAGGAGATCTGCATGGAGGAATGGGCCAAAATACCAGCAACAGTGTGTGAAAACCTTGTGAAGACTTACAGAAAACGTTTGACCTGTGTCATTGCCAACAAAGGGTATATAACAAAGTATTGAGAAACTTTTGTTATTGACCAAATACTTATTTTCCACCATAATTAGCAAATAAATTCATTAAAAATCCTACAATGTGATTTTCTGGAAATGTTTTTCTCATTTTGTCTGTCATAGTTGACGTGTACCTATGATGAAAATTACAGGCCTCTCTCATCTTTTTAAGTGGGAGAACTTGCACAATTGGTGGCTGACTAAATACTTTTTTTCCCCACTGTATATATACAGTGGGGAGAACAAGTATTTGATACACTGCCGATTTTGCAGGTTTTCCTACTTACAAAGCATGTAGAGGTCTGTAATTTTTATCATAGGTACACTTCAACTGTGAGAGACGGAATCTAAAACAAAAATCCTGAAAATCACATTGTATGATTTTTAAGTAGTTAATTTGCATTTTATTGCATGACATAAGTATTTGATACATCAGAAAAGCACAACTTAATATTTGGTACAGAAACCTTTGTTTGCAATTACAGAGATCATACGTTTCCTGTAGGTCTTGACCAGGTTTGCACACACTGCAGCAGGGATTATGGCCCACTCCTCCATACAGACCTTCTCCAGATCCTTCAGGTTTCGGGGCTGTCGCTGGGCAATACAGACTTTCAGCTCCCTCCAAAGATTTTCTATTGGGTTCAGGTCTGGAGACTGGCTAGGCCACTCCAGGAGAGGTCTGTGAGAGCTGGAATTCTTACTGGTTGGTAGGTGATCAAATACTTATGTCATGCAATAAAATGCAAATGAATTACTTAAAAATCATACAATGTGATTTTCTTGATTTTTTTGATATGATAAAAATTACAGACCTCTACATGCTTTGTAGGTAGGAAAACCTGCAAAATCGGCAGTGTATCAAATACTTGTTCTCCCCACTGTATATAGTGTATCTGCTGCTTATAAGTCTTGCATTCCCAAACAAATTCCCAAACAGAGAGTTGTTTAGCCAAGTGGAAATACTAACAATGCAAACCATTGCCTTTTAAAAAGGTGAAATTGCCTTTAAAAGGCACATTGTCAGTAGTCCAGTGCGCTGCTCTGTAATGTGCCTTGGATTGAATCCCGGCACAGTGTTGGTAATGAGTAGAGGTGGTCAGGGTGGTTGTTGCCATGTGTGCATTACAATTAGCCAGCTCCACAATTGCGTGTGTTCTTTTGGCTAGTGTTGTTTGGCAATTGTTGCGGAAACTTTCGAATGACTTTGCAACCCTGTATTTCAGGGCCGGGAAGATACCAAAAATGAAATCACGAAGCAGACCAAACTCTTTGGTTCTTTAAAAACTTGCTGTGTGTAAAATATTGTATGCTATAGCTTGAAAATAAATACATGTGACAAATTATGTTCGTTTCCAACATTAGGGCTGTTTTTCCTAAAGAAGTTAAATTTGCTTCGTGTTTTGTTTCCTTGCCATGATAATAACGAGTATCGCGAAACTGGTATCATTCCGGCCCTACTGAATTTCCACCTAGCTACTAGCTCTGAGAGGAAGGGGGACACCTTGAAAAGAGAGACAAAATATATTTATTTTATTGGTCCTTTTGGGTCATACTTTACATTGTCATTATTTCTGCTTGGCTAAACTGCCCTTTTGTGAATTTGTTTGGGAATGCAAGACATATAAGCAGCAGATATCTATCTATATATAGCTACATTATTTTTTAAAGCAGTGCATAGGACGCAGCCTCGATGGCCAATACAGTGAAGACTCCAGCAGAGTTAGACAATTAGTATCTGCACAGTTCAACAAAACCAATCAACTAAAATATATTGATAATCACCTACAATCGCCTATAGTAAGTATAGTCCTGGATTCCTTTTAGTCCAGGACAAAGCTTAATCTGGATCTCGGAAATCGGTCCTTAAACAGAAAACAAACATGACTATCTTTATCTGATTAAAAGAATATACTGTAATGCCAGGCATACACTACATGATTTTGTCACGAATTTGCCACCTTTTTGCTGTCCCAGATGAATTTTCATGATCGGGGTGAAATCCTATGAATTTGGGCTAGGATCAGTACATCGGGACACGTGTAGTTTGGTCATGCTGTAGTATGAGCAGTGCTACGTTGCGATTGGCCAAGGACTGCTGCCAATAGCCAATGAGCATGCAGCATGTGAGACCAAAACAATGATGGCGAAGAGGAAAGCAACAAGAACGCGCACCGTGTGTACAGAGGTGATGGAAGACAGATTGGTGGAGCTGTGGAAAGAACGCAGCTGCGTTTCAATGTGCGAGTTCGTTTTACATGGCCCGTTGCCCTGGTTGGGCGGGATTTTATTATTTTTGAACATTTCATTGGTCCTTGAGTGATATATCCACCCACCCGGGGCACCGTGCCATGCAAAACAAACTCCACCAATATTACATCTGCGTCCTACCATGACAGAAACCAAAAATATAATTTCATATTATCGTTATTCTTTAATATTAAGCCCATATTCTGCACCTCCGTGAAATCAATTTTTTGATGTTTCTACACATAATATATTTTTTTTTAGCTCACTGTTTGCGTGTCTGCATTTTTTTCCTACGACAACCAAGAAACGCAGGGAAGGATCAACTAGGGTATCATTGTGTAATGTGAGCACCCACGTCCTGGGTTTGAGAGTGGACGGAATGAAAGATTTGGGACAAGGAAATCGCAAAATGTGAGCACGTCCAAGTTGTTAAGATTTTAGAAGTTGTGTAATGTATGCCCGGCATAACTGATAGCCTGCTCCCAGATCTGTTTGCACATGATAACAAAAACAGACTGGCACTCAGGCTGTAGAAGTGATTGGTTGAAATGAGAACCCACACAGTGGCTGTCCCCAGAACTGGAGCAGAGAAACTCAAGTGTAATATGCATATACAGTATGTAACACCAGTCATTTATACAATGATATTGCTTGACTTATGTTTTCCCTTAAAATAGTGTTTAGTGAAGAATTTGTTCATGAGTCATAACACTGAACACTTCAAGAAAGTGTTTATATTTTATTTATATTGCACTGTTGTTCAAACCATTTATTAGTATGTTTGCAGTGCAAACGGCACAGGTATGAGCATCCTCTGAATGACTACAATGTGAAATGTAAGCGCTGTATTGTACAAATACCGGTATATAATTGGGCATTTTAGAGAAATGATGCGAAAACAAAAGGCTGATTGTGTCTCCGAGGACTGATTATAGTCCTAATAAGCTGTCTTCATGCCACTGCTCGGTACACACCGCAGGTTTCACAAACACACACATGCACACAAACACAAGAACACACACAAGCACAAGAACACATACAAGCATGCACATGAACACACACACTGCACAATTCGCACAGATTCTATCTTGCACACACAAGCACAAGAACCACACACACACACACACAAACACACATGTACAGTATAAACACACACACTGAGCTCTACCTCATTAAACTCAGGGTTAAGAGTCTTTTTTATGACGGCTGTTTTATGCTTGGATTTCTTCTGCAGGTCTGGCTTGAGGTACCTGATACAGAGTAATGTGAGGCTGTCACACTCCATTAAGAAAACACAAACTCAATTCATTATGCAGTCCAAACTGGTGCACTATGTAGGGAATAGGGTGCCATTTGCCATTGTCATTCCTAAGGCAAGGTCGTGTTTAAAGCTACATTCTGCATGATTTCTTGCTGCTATTGTAATTGCAAATCCCCATCCACTGAAACTTTTGCAGATATGCAGACTTATAATGTAGAAATGCATATACAGCGTATAAACATCTTCTGAAACACATGAAATCTCAAACATAACCTTCGGAGCGTGATATTGTTACATTCCAAATGTAAAGACCCCATCATTTATAGGGTAGATATGATTCTGTCATCATACAGCATAAGAAACTATGGTTGTGTCCCAATTGCACCCTATTCACATTTGACCAGATCCTATAGGCCCTGGTCAAACGTAATGGACTATATAGGGAATAGGGTACTATTTGGTACGCCGCCCATGTCCCAATCTATACTGTATATTACATTTCTAGCTATGTGTGTCATAACAAGGACAATTCTGAACGTGAAATCATATTATCTTATGGTCTGAGACTTAAGCTACACAGTAGAATCTTTAACTGTGCCGAGTATCTCTCGCTGTGCTCTGACACATTCTCTAATATCTAAACTGACAGAAAGCTAGTGTTCTGCATTTCCCTCACACACATTTTCCACCCACCACCCCGCAGCACGAAGACCTGATGTTCTCCCCCACACTCAGACACAACAAAACAGATGGGGAATTTACTGAGTGCTAATACAGAACAAAGAGCGAGAGAGCGAGGTAGAGAGAGAGAGCGAGAGAAGAAACAGAATGAGATGCTGCGTGTGTGTGTATGCCTGTGTGTGTGTGCATGCATGAGTTTGTGTCTGCATGCATGAGTGTGTGTGTGTGTGTGCATGAGCGTGTGTGTGTGAGAGAGAAAGCGTCTACAGGACAGACATTTGATTGTGTGCACTGGCGGTAGGAAAACGGTAGCATGTTTATTGGTATGCCTTGCTTGTACTTTAACCTGAGGGCATATTTATTTGGCATATTTCTCCAAGAAAGTGTGTACGTGTGTGTTTATGTACGTGTGAAAGGGAGGTAAAGTGAGATGTTTGCTCGGCACGGCCACTGTTTTTTACTAATTCCAGGGAAAGCTCAAGGCCAGTGACGGCATTCAAGTGAACACATTGACAAGGGATGAAATGTTCAGTTCCTTTGTCCGATTTCTGTCAGGATGCATCAGTCACGCTGGGAACAATTCCACATCTCACTAGCCATGGCTTGCACACACACACATGCATGTACATACACACACTCTCTCTCTCTCAATTACTTTTGAAATGCAATTGTGCAAAGGCTCCAGTCCATAAATCTCTGTATGTTACTCAAAGGGCACCTACAGTAAGATGGTCATCTCAATAACCATAACTCCCTGTACACTGCATCTCTTTCTACCCCTCATGCCCACTGGAAATAATAACGTATTTGTTTTCTTTCAGATACTTTGAACCTTTCATTGAGCCTGCCTGGAGTGCCGAATGGTAGGAGTTTTCACTTTTGGCACTATTCCATTTGTTCTGTTACACCATTCAAGCTCAATCAAGCGCATCTTAAATATTTAAAAGAAAACAAAACATTTGTACACAAGAAAAACGGTACGAAAACGTGTGAAACGGGGAACTTGTACAATAAGAAACACTAATTTTCATTTCCGTTGCAAAACGTTTTGCTGCGTTGTGCTCTAATGAACACAACCCAGGTCTAGTATTGGTATCAGGGTCAAAGCCTATACTCACGTTTTGACGTAGGGGTCCGAGAATCCGTTGACGTCCATGGCTGCTAGGTGGGCGCAGCGTTGCACACCCACACAGAGCCCTCCGCGGGCCCTCTCCTTGGCCTCCCCTTTGGCCTTATCGACCTCACTGGACGGGGGGAGGAACTGCAGGCAGAGCAGCAGACGACCCCTCTCCTCCAGACTCCTCTGCTGTTCACTCTCCCACTGAGAGAGAGGGACATTGAGAAAACGTGGTAGAGAGAAAAGGAGAGAGAGTGAGAGATTGTGTATTGACCTTTTGTGTCTGTACTGAAGGGACTTAAGTTAGCAGTCACAGCATTCGTCAGACATGATGTTGACATAGCAACTACTAGCTGAAAGGACCTAGCAGCAAGTCGTTGGGAAAAAGGATGTGCAGGGTCAAAAAAAGTTATCAAAACTGATTGAACTAACCTGTATTGGAAGGGTATAGCGTTATATAGTATATACATTAGCGAAACCCTGTTCTATAGGCAGTAACTTAATGGATATGATTAATTCGATTCTATGCAATTTAATCTTTGTGGACTGCAACCATCATAAATGGTTTATAATCTGTCTAATTAAAAGCTTGAAAATATTTGAGTGTGGAATTCCACTCAAATAATTGGGGCCAGTGGCATGTCCCTGGATGAAGTGCTTCTTTTGAGCCTAAAAGGACAACATCTGTGAAAGAATGTAGGAGCAGACCCACCGCAAGTTTACGGCTTATGGTATTATAATATAGTTATACCACAACATTGTTGAATACTCGTTTCTGATTGGTTAGAAGGGCATTCTAGAATGGACATTAAAACCAGATAACAGAACGGTTGGAAAAGATATCGGGACAGTTGTACAAGATATTGGGACACCTTGCAATCATTATGCAATAAGCGGCTACACATTCAGACCGTACTTGCTACAAAGTTACAGAAAGCTAAACCAACAACCACACAAACCGAAATTGAACACATTGTAAACGCAGGTCCAACGAGGAAAAACTTAGCTAGCTAGCATTGATTTGTTTTTGCAGAGACATATTTTTTTGGAGCATCTGATGACCTAACGTGGTGAGTGATGAAAATGATTTTCTCTGGTCCCTACTGTTGCAGTCATGACACAAGTGGCTCTATGCTGTCAAATACTCCCACGTTTCTAATTTGACCAGCTGTTTTCAGAAACTAATATTTTTGAATTTGGTTGTCATATTGGCAGGTTTGCTAGCAACAAACTAGTTGTGTTTGATATGCAATGTGATCTCCTCGTAACGAACAGTGTTGAGTGTCCTGAAGAGAAGGCTAACTTTTCTAGCTATGCCAGGCAAAATTGGGCATTATCAGCTCATTGTTATGGATGTATCCAAATGAATGTCAATAGAAAACAGCTACTTTGCTGTTATTTTGGCTGCAGAGGTCGTGACTGTGTTAGCCGTAGGTAGCTGACTAGCTAGCAAGCAAGGGATAAGAACATTGCCAGCGAGCATGGCAACGGAATATAAAGAACGAACGACTGGGATGCGTCCATACATTTTGAACTAATTGAACGAACGACTGGGTCGTGACTCTAGCAACCAAAAGATGAGAAAGTATGAATTAGCTTATAAAAATGAAAATATTAACTAAAGAAAAGTATTTATACCGGTAAATGTGTGCTTTCATATTGTTTTCTTAAGCAATTGTGGGTGGTATAAGTGGGATAAACAGCTCCGTTCTGTACATTAACTCTCAAGGCAATGTACATAACTTTGGCATTTATGCCTTACATAAAGTATTTTTAATACTTATGGATACAGTGTCATGTTAGCAAAAGATGTGTGCCATTGTTGAATTACTGCATTGGGACATTGTCTTCCAACAGGTGCATCACTACTGCGCGTTGCTAGTCCATCAGTACAGACGAACACGTTATCTGACATAAGACAATAGCCTTTGGGTTGAAACATGTCAATACATTGGGATGGCTTCACGGTTGCTTCACGGTTGGGATGGTGATCTTCGGCTTGCAAGCAACCCCCTTTTTCCTCCAAACATAACGATGGTCATTATGGCCAAACAGTTATATTTTTGTTTCATCAGACCAGAGGACATTTCTCCAAAAAGTACGATCTTTGTCCCCATGTGCAGTTGTAAACCGTAGTCTGGCTTTTTTATGGCGGTTTTGGAGCAGTGGCTTCTTCCTTGCCGAGCGGCCTTTCAGGTTATGTCGATATAGGACTCGTTTTACTGTGGATATAGATACTTTTGTACCTGTTTCCTCCAGCATCTTCATATGGAATCATGTAGTAATCAAATAAGTGTTAAACAAATCAAAATATATGTTATATTTGAGATTCTTCAAATAGCCATCCTTTGCCTTGATGACAGCTTTGCACACTCTTGGCATTCTCTCAACCAGCTTCATGAGGTAGTCACCTGGAATGCATTTCAATTAACAGGTGTGCCTTCTTAAAAGTTAATTTGTGGAATTTCTTTCCTTCTTAATGCGTTTGAGCCAATCAGTTGTGTTGTGACAAGGTAGGGTTGGTATGCAGAAGATAGACCTATTTGGTAAAAGACCAAGTCCATATTATGTCAAAAACAGCTAAAATAAGCAAAGAGAAACGACAGTCCATCATTACTTTAAGACATGAAGGTCAGTCAATCTGGAAAATGTCAAGAACTTTGAAAGTTTCTTCAAGTGCAGTCGCAAAAACCATGAAGCACTATGATGAAACTGGCTCTCATGAGGACTGCCACAGGAAAGGAAGACCCAGAGTTACCTCTGCTGCAAGTAAGTTCATTAGAGTTACCTGCCTCAGAAAATACAGCCCAAATAAATGCTTCACAGAATTCAACTAACAGACACATCTCAACATCAACTGTTCAGAGGGGACCGTGTGAATCAGGCCTTCATGGTCAAATTGCTGCAAAGAAACCACTACTAAAGGACACCAATAAGAAGAAGAGACCTGCTTGGGCCAAGAAACACGAGCAATGGACATTAGACCGGTGGAAATATGGCCTTTGGTCTGGAGTCAAAATTGGAGATTTTTGGGTCTAACCGCCGTGTATTTGTGAGACGTGGTGTGGGTGAACGGATTATCTCCGCATGTGTAGTTCCCACCGTAAAGCATGGAGGAGGAGGAGTTATGGTGTGGGGGTGCTTTGCTGGTGACACTGTCTGTGATTTATTTAGAATTCAAGGCACACTTAACCAGCATTGCTACCACAGTATTCTGCAGCTCTACGTCATCCCATCTGGTTTGGGCTTAGTGGGACTATTATTTGTTTTTCAACAGGACAATGACCCAACACACCTCCAGGCTGTGTAAAGGCTATTTTACCAAGAAGGAGAGTGATGGAGTGCTGCATCAGATGACCTGGCCTCCACAATCCCCTGACCTCAACCCAATTGAGATGGTTTGGGATGAGTCAGACGGCAGAAAGTGCTCAGCATATGTGGGAAACTCCTTGAAGACCGTTGGAAAAGCATTCCAGGTGAAGTTGGTTGAGAGAATGCCAAGAGTGTGCAAAGCTGTCATCAAGGCAAAGGGTGGCTACTTTGAAGAATCTAAAATATAAATTATATTTTGATTTGTTTAACACTTTTTTGGTTACTGCATGATTTCATATGTGTTATTTCATAGTTTTGATGTCTTCACTATAATTCTACAATGTAGAAAATAGTAAAAATAAAGAAAAACCCTTGAATGAGTAGGTGTGTCCAAACTTTTGTTTAGTACTGTAGACCTGGTCCGATCCTAACGAAGGAAACAGCGGAAAAGTCCATTTTTAAACTACTTTATTAACCGTAGCTGATAAAGCGTGAGGGAGAGAAGAGACAGAGAGGTGTTGCCCATTTCCCTTTTCCCTTTTTTGTGAACAAAATGTGCAATGCATTTTCCGAACTGTGAAAGGCAGCAATACGCAATAAAGCGTCTAGTCTGCCGGAAACCGGACAAAAAATAAGAAAAAGAAGAAGCAGAGAGAGGTGTCGCTCTAGCAGGCAGAGCATGGGGGGGGGGGGGTCTAGTAGTATTATATATTTTTTATTATGCCCAGCTCACGAGGCCCCTTGATGATGTGAGACAATTGCCTTACATCATCCTAATGGTAAGTCCGCCAATATTCTTATGCTGGTGACAAGCCCAATTTCCCCTCTGGGGATCAATAAAGTTTATCCATTCATTCATCCCCTTGTGTGTCTTACAGACTGACTATTGTGATGAAAGAGTCTGATAGCAAGCACAGTGCGGTACGCATCATGCCACATCACATTAAGATTGATGGATGAAGGAATAGAAAATAAAAGCGAGGGAGCAGCCACTCAAAGAAGCTAAGAATGATGAGATGCAACATCTCAGGGAAGCATGAGTCACTCCATGGCCACAGGCAGAGCCGAGCTACATACATGTATTTATAGTGAAGCGTACATTCGTCTATATTCCACATCCATTTTTACCCCCCTTACATGTATGTCTATTTCTTGTTATTTTGTGAGCGCATAAATTCACCAACCTTTGATTAGGGCTGTTACAGTGACCATATTACCGCAACACCGGTGGTCACGAGGCATGACCACAGTCAAATTCCACGTAACCGTTTAGTAAAGGTAACTAGGCTTCTCCAAACTCTGATGCTGATAATGGTCATTAGTAGCATACCAAACTTGCTAACTACCTGGTACTCAGCACTCTATTGTCCCTTTAATCACTCTGACATCAATGCAAATGTAATAAAAAACATTCAAGCACTTCATGAGAGCCAATGAGCTCATGTTGCGCAACATTTCTATAAACTATGCAATTGCATGAGAAAACAGAGTTTTGATGGTCTCTATTGAAAAGAGGAGGATCCCATCAGCTTTCTATAGGCTAGACCTACTATATTTATTTCTCAACATTCCTAATATTAAGCACATTGCTTCGCTTTACAACAGGAGTATAGCCTACCTGGCTGTCATGAAAATGAACCACGGGAAAGTGCATAGATGACATGTATTTTTTTCTCCCCCTGTCCCTGTTCTGAGACAGGTGCATGATAATGGTTCATTCTAAATCAAAACTAATTTCATACATACAGTACCAGTCAAAAGTTTGGACACACCTACTCATTCCAGGGTTTTTCTTTATTTTTACTATTTTCTACATTGTAGAATAATAGTGAAGACATCAACACTAGGAAATAACACATATGGAATCATGTAGTAACCAAAAAAGTGTTAAACAAATCAAAATATATTTTATATTTGAGATTCTTCAAATAGCCACCCTTTGCCTTGATGACAGCTTTTGGCATTCTCTCAACCAGCTTCATGAGGTAGTCACCTGGAATGCATTTCAATTAACAGGTGTGCCTTCTTAAAAGTTAATTTGTGGAATTTCTTTCCTTCGTAATGCGTTTGAGCCAATCAGTTGTGTTGTGACAAGGTAGGGTTGGTATACAAAAGATAGCCCTATTTGGTAAAAGACCAAGTCCATATTATGGCAAAAACAGCTCAAATAAGCAAAGAGAAACGACAGTCCATCATTACTTTAAGACATTAAGGTCAGTTAATTCTGAACATTTCAAGAACTTTGAACGTTTCTTCAAGTGCAGTCGCAGAAACCATGAAGCTGTCATGAACCCTGCATCCTGAGTCTGTTCCTGCCTGGGTTGCCGTTTTTTCTGCTCGGTATCTCCTGTTTTCCCGAAGGTTCCTAAACGCACCCTGTCCGGTTGCCGGGCGACGTTGCTAGGTGGGTGATCTCTCGATTACCCGCACCTGCTTCTCATCAGCCTCGGCACACCTGGTCCTGATCATCACCCCTTCTTAAGCTCTGACCTGACATCCATTCCCTGCCGGATCGTTAGCCATTAACAGTATGTTTTTGCCAGTGTATCAGCCTCTGAGTACTAGCGTTAGTTTTGTTGTTTTTTGCACCTTGTTGACCTGCCTTGTACTTACCCTCAGTTTTTTTCTGTCTACAGTCATTCTCCCGGAACCTTCACCCAACCCCTGCAGTGCCATCATTTAATCTGCCACTTCACCTCCACCTACTCATCTCCGCCACCCGCTCCGTCTCCTGGATTATTCTGCATCCTTTTGAATCTGTAAATAAACACTCACCTTCGTTCAACTCACCTTGTCCTGGTCTGCTTCTGGGTTCGGTCTTAGAGAACCGTGACAGAACGATCCGGCCAGAAATGAACCCAGCGGACCTGGACTCTGTTCGCCATGCCATTACCCATCAGGAGAAGATGTTGGGACAACATAGCACGGCGCTACAGGAGATAGCGTTGTCAGTTCGGAACTTTTCTACCAGTCTGACGAAGATCCAGGCTCAGCTCAGTTTGCCGGTGGAGAATCCACCACCGGTTTCTCCCATCTCGCCTGCCGCTTCTGGAGCTGTGCCCTTCCCTGAGCCCAAGGTTCCGACGCCTGATAAATATGAGGGGGATTTGGGAAGATGCCGTTCCTTTCTTAGGCAGTGTGGATTAGTGTTCGATCTACAGCCCCACTCTTATGCCACAGACAAGGCTAGGATAGCCTTTGTCATTGAATTGCTGCGTGGTAGAGTCCTGGAGTGGGCTTCAGCCGTATGGGAACGACAGGACACCTGCATGGCTTCATACCAGGAGTTCACGGCAGAGATGAGGAAGCTGTTTGACCATCCTGTCTGAGGGAAGGACGCAGCTAAACGCCTGTTTTCTCTTCACCAAGGAGCTCGCAGAGTTGCCGACTTCGTTATCGAATTCAGGACATTGGCTGTGGAGAGTGGGTGGAATGAAGAGTCACTGCAAGCGGCCTTTTATCAGGGGTTGTCGGAGCAACTCAAGGATGAGCTGATCTCCTATCTGGAGCCTAGTGACCTGGACAGTTTGGTCGCTTTGTCTATTCGGGTGGATAACAGAGTTCGAGAGAGAAGGAGGGAGAAGCAATGGGGCCCGTCCAATCAATCAGCTTCTCGGTTCCCAGTCGGGTCAGGAGGTGGACCAGAACGCGTCGATCTTTGTCCACCACACGGGATTAGTGGAGAGGTCCTGCCTCCAGATTCTGAACCCATGCAAGTGGGGCGGCACGGGTTAACCAAGGAGGAGCGCCAACATAGACGTGAGACCAACCGCTGCCTCTACTGTGGTAGTTCGGGACATTACATCTCCACTTGTTCCCAGCGGCCGTCAAACTGCCCGGCTCACTAAGTTTGGGAGGACATTTAGCGAGCCGGTTTCAACCTCTCAATAGCCCTGTCAGACCCCGTTTCCCGGCTACCCTCATGAACAGGAATCAGAGTTTAGCGATTAACGCTTTCATCGATTCAGGTGCCGATGGCAGCTTTATTGATGCCGACGTGGTGGAACAGCTGGGGCTTCCCAAGGAGCGACTACCGGAAGCCATTGAAGCTACCACTCTGAACGGCAGTAGTCTGGCACGTATCACGATGAGGACTGAACCGGTTAAGATGCTGTTGTCAGGGAATCATTCTGAGGTTATCTCATTCTTCATTCTGCCTTCTCCCCATGTTCCTCTGGTCCTTGGATACCCCTGGCTGAAGGAACACAATCCCACGTTCGATTGGGTGACTGGCAAGGTAACTAGTTGGAGCATTGATTGCCATGCTAACTGCCTCAAGACTGCCTGTTCCCATTCTGTTCCCAGTCAGGTCATTGAGGCTAACCCCCCAGATTTGTCCCTGGTCCCCGAAACATATCACGATTTGGGGGAGGTGTTCAGTAAGCAGAGGGCTCTGTCACTCCCTCCCCACCGACCATATGATTGTGCCATAAACCTGTTCCCTGGAGCTGTCTTTCCCAAGGGACGGTTATACAGCATCTCCCGACCTGAACGTGAAGCTTTGGAGACCTACATAAAGGAGTCCCTAGCTGCTGGTCTCATTCGTCCCTCGTCATCACCCCTGGGGGCAGGATTCTTCTTTGTGAGTAAGAAGGATGGCTCTCTTCGACCTTGTATTGATTATCGGGGGTTGAATGATATCACGGTCAAGAACAAGTATCCCCTGCCCTTGATGAGCTCTGCTTTCGACTCCTTACAGGGTGCTACGGTGTTCACCAAGCTGGACCTACGCAATGTGTATCATCTGGTCCGGATCAGAGAGGGTGACGAGTGGTTGACTGGTTTCAATACACCGATGGGTCATTTCGAGTATCAGGTGATGCCGTTTGGACTGACCAATGCTCCAGCAGTGTTCCAGAGTATGGTGAATGATGTCCTGAGAGATATGATCGGTATTTTTGTGTTCGTTTACCTGGATGACATTCTTATCTTCTCTAAGGAGCCTTCCAGCCACGTCCAGCATGTCAAGCAGGTTCTGCAGCGATTGTTGGAGAATCGCCTGTTTGTGAAGGCCGAGAAGTGTGAATTCCACACCCACACTACATCCTTCCTCGGGTACATCATCTCCAGGGGAGAGATTACGATGGACCAAGAGAAGGTTAGGGCGGTTCTGGATTGGGCCCAGCCCGGTACGAGATTGCAGCTCCAGAGGTTTCTGGTGTTTGCGAATTTCTATCGTAGATTTATCCATGACTACAGCCGTGTGGCCGCTCCTTTAACTGCCCTGACTTCTAGTACCAGAACCTTCAGTTGGAATCCTGAGGCGGACCGAGCATTTCTGGATTTGAAGAGGCGATTCACCAACGCTCCGATTCTCTCTCAACCTGACACTGCCCGTCAGTTTGTCGTTGAGGTGGATGCGTCTGATGTGGGGGTTGGCACCATCCTGTCCCAGCGATGCTCCACTGACGGTAAACTCCATCCCTGCGCCTACTACTCTCGTCGTCTTTCGTCTGCGGAGAGGAACTACGATGTGGGTAACCGGGAGCTTCTCGCAGTGAAACTTGCCTTGGAGGAGTGGCGCCACTGGTTGGAGGGGGCGGAGCAACCGTTTGTTGTCTGGACTGACCACAACAATCTTGCTTACGTGCAATCGGCTAAACGTCTCAACTCCCGTCAGGCCAGGTGGTCGTTGTTTTTTGGACGCTTTAATTTTTCCTTGACGTTCCGACCGGGGTCTAAGAACGGCAAGGCGGACGCCTTGTCCCGGATGTTCTCCAAGACGGAGGAGAGTGGGGCCAAGACTGAGACGATTCTTCCCCGGAATCTTGTCGTAGGAGCCGTTATGTGGAGGATTGAGGAGGAGGTTATGGCGGCCCTTCGGACGCAGCCCGGCCCCGGTAACGGTCCACCCGGTCGGTTGTTTGTGCCTGAGTCGGTCCGTTCGGCTGTCCTCCAATGGTCCCACGCCAGCAAGATGGCTTGCCACCCTGGCGTGGCTCGGACGATGGCGGTTCTACGCAGACGATTTTGGTGGCCTGCCATGGGAGAAGATACTCTGAGGTTTGTTGCTGCCTGTCCAGTTTGTGCGCAGAACAAGAGTGCCAATCGGCCCAGCTCTTGACTTCTTCACCCCCTACCTATCCCCCCGGCGACCATGGTCGCATCTGGCCCTGGACTTTGTCACTGGGTTGCCCTCTTCTGAGGGGAACACGGTCATTCTGACTATTGTGGACAGATTCAGCAAGTTCGCCCACTTTGTGCCCATCCCTCTGCCTCTGAGACGTCCAAGATCCTGGTTAGGGAGGTTTTTCAGGGTTCATGGATTGCCCAGTGACATAGTTTCCGACCGTGGTCCTCAGTTCACCTCTGCTGTCTGGAAGTCCTTCTGTTTGGCCATTGGAGCTACAGTCAGTCTCACATCTGGATTTCACCCCCAATCCAACGGACAGGCGGAGAGAGCCAACCAGAAGATGGAATCCACGCTGCGCTGCCTTGTTTCCTCCAACCCCACCTCTTGGGTCTCTCAGTTGCCTTGGGGTTGAGTATGCCCACAATACTCTCCCTACTTCTGCCACTGGGATGTCTCCCTTCCAGTGCCTATACGGCTACCAACCCCCCCTGTTTCCTTCTCAGGAGAAGGATCTCTCGGTTCCCTCTGTCCAGGCCCACATTCGTCGTTGCCACCGGACCTGGCATCGGGCCAGAAAGGCCCTCCTTCGAGTTTTCTGACCGGTATCAGCTCCAGGCGAATCATCGCCGTATTCCAGCCCCCGCTTATGCCATCAGAGATAGGGTCTGGTTGGCTACACGGGACCTCCCTCTGCGGACTGAGTCAAGGAAACTGTCGCCGAGGTTCATTGGTCCGTTTGTGGTGGAGAGAGTGATCAATCCGGTTGTGGTTCGACTCAAGTTGCCTAGGACGCTCAGAGTCCATCCCACCTTCCATGTCTCCTGCCTCAAGCCTGTTCTCCTCAGCCCTCTGTTGCCCCCTCCGCCTCCTCCTCCTCCTCGGATGATCGGAGGAGGTCCTGTCTATACGGTGCGCCGCATCATGGATTCCAGACGGCGGGGCCGGGGTTTCCAGTATCTCGTGGACTGGGAGGGGTATGGTCCTGTGGAGAGGAGTTGGATTCCTCGGCGTCAGATCCTTGATGCTGACCTCCTTCGTGACTTCTAACCGCCTCCATCCTGGCGCTCCGGGTAGTCCGCCCGGTGGCGTTCATCGGAGGGGGGGGTACTGTCATGAACCCTGCATCCTGAGTCTGTTCCTGCCTGGGTTGCCGTTTTTTCTGCTCGGTATCTCCTGTTTTCCCGAAGGTTCCTGAACGCACCCTGTCCGGTTGCCGGGCGACGTTGCTAGGCGGGTGATCTCTCGATTACCCGCACCTGCTTCTCATCAGCCTCGGCACACCTGGTCCTGATCATCACCCCTTCTTAAGCTCTGACCTGACATCCATTCCCTGCCGGATCATTAGCCATTAACAGTATGTTTTGCCAGTGTATCAGCCTCTGAGTACTAGCACCCCTGTAGTGCCATCATTTAATCTGCCACTTCACCTCCACCTACTCATCTCCGCCACCCGCTCCGTCTCCTGGATTATTCTGCATCCTTTTGAATCTGTAAATAAACACTCACCTTCGTTCAACTCACCTTGTCCTGGTCTGCTTCTGGGTTCGGTCTTAGAGAACCGTGACAGAAGCGCTATGATGAAAGTGGCTCTCATGAGGACCGCCACAGGAAAGGAAGACCCAGAGTTAACTCTGCTGCAGAGGATAAGTTCATTAGAGTTACCAGCCTCAGAAAATACAGCCCAAATAAATGCTTCACAGAGTTCAAGTAACAGACACATCTCAACATCAACTGTTCAGAGGAGACTGCGTGAATCAGGCCTTCATGGTCGTATTGCTGCAAAGAAACCACTACTAAAGGACACCAATAAGAAGAAGAGACTTGCTTGGGCCAAGAAACACGAGCAATGGACATTAGACTGGTGGAAATCTGTCCTTTGGTCTGATGAGTCCAAACCACAGTGTCTTTGTGAGACGCAGAGTAGGTGATGCATGGAGGAGGAGGTGTGATGGTGTGGGGGTGTTTTGCTGGTGACACTGTCTGTGGTTTATTTAGAATTCAAGGCACATTTAACCAGCATGGCTACCACAGCATTCTGCAGCGATACGCCATCCCATCTGGTTTGCGCTGATGGGACTATTATTTGTTTTTCAACAGGACAATGACCCAAAACACACCTCCAGGCTGTGTAAGGGCTATTTTACCAAGAAGGAGAGTGATGGAGTGCTACATCAGATGACCTGGCCTCCACAATCACCTGACCTCAACCCAATTGAGATGGTTTGGGATGAGTTGGACCGCAGAGTGAAGGAAAAGCAGCCAACAAGTGCTCAGCATATGTGGGAACTCCTTCAAGACTGTTGGAAAAGCATTGTTCATGAAGCTGGTTGAGAGAATGCCAAGAGTGTGCAAAGCTGTCATCAAGGCAAAGGGTGGCTACTTTGAAGAATCTAAAATATAAATTATATTTTGATTTGTTTAACACTTTTTTGGTTACTACATGATTCCATATGTGTTATTTCATAGTGTTGATGTCTTCACTATTATTCTACAATGTAGAAAATATTAAAAATATAGAAAAACCCTTGAATGAGTAGGTGTGTCCAAACTTCTGACTGGTACTGTATATGGCACAGCGGTCCTTAAATGAAAGTGGTATACAATATATATATATATATATATATATATATATATATATATATACACAGTGGGGAGAACAAGTATTTGATACACTGCCGATTTTGCAGGTTTTCCTACTTACAGTGGGGGAAAAAAGTATTTAGTCAGCCACCAATTGTGCAAGTTCTCCCACTTAAATAGATGAGAGAGGCCTGTAATTTTCATCAACTATGACAGAGAAATTGAGAAAAAAAATCCTGAAAATCACATTGTAGGATTTTTAATGAATTTATTTGCAAATTATGGTGGAAAATAAGTATTTGGTCACCTACAAACAAGCAAGATTTATGGCACTCACAGAACTGTAACTTCTTCTTTAAGAGGCTCCTCTGTCCTCCACTCGTTACCTGTATTAATGGCACCTGTTTGAACTTGTTATCAGTATAAAAGACACCTGTCCACAACCTCAAACAGTCACACTCCAAACTCCACTATGGCCAAGACCAAAGAGCTGTCAAAGGACACCAGAAACAAAATTGTAGACCTGCACCAGGCTGGGAAGACTGAATCTGCAATAGGTAAGCAGCTTGGTTTGAAGAAATCAACTGTGGGAGCAATTATTAGGAAATGGAAGACATACAAGACCACTGATAATCTACCTCGATCTGGGGCTCCACGCAAGATCTCACCCTGTGGGGTCAAAATGATCACAAGCAAAAATGAGCAAAAATCCCAGAACCACACGGGGGGACCTAGTGAATGACCTGCAGAGAGCTGGGACCAAAGTAACAAAGCCTACCATCAGTAACACACTACGCCGCCAGGGACTCAAATCCTGCAGTGCCAGATGTGTCCCCCTGCTTAAGCCAGTACATGTCCAGGCCCGTCTGAAGTTTGCTAGAGTGCATTTGGATGATCCAGAAGAGGATTGGGAGAATGTCATATGGTCAGATGAAACCAAAATAGAAATTTTTGGTAAAAACTCAACTCGCCATATTTGGAGGACAAAGAATGCTGAGTTGCATCCAAAGAACACCATACCTACTGTGAAGCATGAGGGTGGAAACATCATGCTTTGGGGCTGTTTTTCTGCAAAGGGACCAGGATGACTGATCCGTGTAAAGGAAAGAATGAATGGGGCCATGTATCGTGAGATTTTAAGTGAAAACCTCCTTCCATCAGCAAGGGCATTGAAGATGAAACGTGGCTGGGTCTTTCAGCATGACAATGATCCCAAACACACCGCCCGGGCAACGAAGGAGTGGCTTCGTAAGAAGCATTTCAAGGTCCTGGAGAGGCCTAGCCAGTCTCCAGATCTCAACCCCATAGAAAATCTTTGGAGGGAGTTGAAAGTCCGTGTTGCCCAGCGACAGCCCCAAAACATCAATGCTCTAGAGGAGATCTGCATGGAGGAATGGGCCAAAATACCAGCAACAGTGTGTGAAAACATTATGAAGACTTACAGAAAACGTTTGACCTGTGTCATTGCCAACAAAGGGTATATAACAAAGTATTGAGAAACTTTTGTTATTGACCAAATACTTATTTTCCACCATAATTAGCAAATAAATTCATTAAAAATCCTACAATGTGATTTTCAGGATTTATTTTTCTCATTTTGTCTGTCAAAGTTCCTTTGACAGCTCTTTGGTCTTGGCCATAGTGGAGTTTGGAGTGTGACTGTTTGAGGTTGTGGACAGGTGTATTTTATACTGATAACAAGTTCAAACAGGTGCCATTAATACAGGTAACGAGTGGAGGACAGAGGAGCCTCTTAAAGAAGAAGTTACAGGTCTGTGAGAGCCAGAAATCTTGCTTGTTTGTAGGTGACCAAATACTTATTTTCCACCATAATTTGCAAATAAATTCATTAAAAATCCTACAATGTGATTTTCTGGATAATTTTTTCTCAATTTGTCTGTCATAGTTGACGTGTACCTATGATGAAAATTACAGGCCTCTCTCATCTTTTTAAGTGGGAGAACTTGCAGAATTGGTGGCTGACTAAATACTTTTTTTCCCCACTGTACAAAGCATGTAGAGGTCTGTAATTTGTATCATAGACAAAAATCAAGAAAATCATATTGTATGATTTTTAAGTAATTAATTTGCATTTTATTGCATGACATAAGTATTTGATCACCTACCAACCAGTAAGAATTCCGGCTCTCACAGACCTGTTAGTTTTTCTTTAAGAAGCCCTCCTGTTCTCCACTCATTACCTGTACTAACTGCACCTGTTTGAGTGTGTGGACAGGTGTCTTTTATACAGGTAAAGAGTTCAAACAGACTCCAACCTCTCCACAATGGCCAAGACCAGGGACATCAGGGATAAAATTGTAGACCTGCACAAGGTTGGGATGGGCTACAGTACAATAGGCAAGCAGCTTGGTGAGAAGGCAACAACTGTTGGCGCAATTATTAGAAAATGGAAGAAGTTCAAGATGACGGTCAATCACCCTCGGTCTGGGGCTCCATGCAAGATCAATGATCATGAGGAAGGTGAGGGAACAGCCCAGAACTACACGGCAGGACCTGGTCAATGACCTGAAGAGAGCTGGGACCACAGTCTCAAAGAAAACCATTAGTAACACACTACGCCGTCATGGATTAAAAATCCTGCAGCGCACGCAAGGTCCCCCTGCTCAAGCCAGCGCATGTCCAGGCCCATCTGAAGTTTGCCAATGACCATCTGGATGATCCAGAGGAGGAATGGGAGAAGGTCATGTGGTCTGATGAGACAAAAATAGAGCTTTTTGGTCTAAACTCCACTCGCCGTGTTTGGAGGAAGAAGAAGGATGAGTACAACCCCAAGAACACCATCCCAACCGTGAAGCATGGAGGTGGAAACATCATTCTTTGGGGATGCTTTTCTGCAAAGGGGACAGGACGACTGCACCGTATTTTTGGGAGGATGGATGGGGCCATGTATCGCGAGATCTTGGCCAACAACCTCCTTCCCTCAGTAAGAGCATTGAAGATGGGTCGTGGCTGGGTCTTCCAGCATGACAACGACCCGAAACACACAGCCAGGGCAACTAAGGAGTGGCTCCGTAAGAAGCATCTCAAGGTCCTTGAGTGACCTAGCCAGTCTCCAGACCTGAACCCAATAGAAAGGGAGGGAGCTGAAAGTCCGTATTGCCCAGCGACAGCCCCGAAACCTGAAGGATCTGGAGAAGGTCTGTATGGAGGAGTGGGCCAAAATCCCTGCTGCAGTGTGTGCAAACCTGGTCAAAACCTACAGGAAACGTATGATCTCTGTAATTGCAAACAAAGGTTTCTGTACCAAATATTAAGTTCTGCTTTTCTGATGTATCAAATACTTATGTCATGCAATAAAATGCAAATGAATTACTTAAAAATCATACAATGTGATTTTCTTGATATTTGTTTCAGATTCCGTCTCTCACAGTTGAAGTGTACCTATGATAAAAATTACAGACCTCTACATGCTTTGTAAGTAGGAAAACCTGCAAAATTGGCAGTGTATCAAATACTTGTTCTCCCCACTGTATATCACAATTTTCTTTCACCAATTTTGGCCTTTAATGCAGAGCCAACAGCTGGTCGTGTTAGCATAGGGCTAAGTGTGCCAGGTTATCTCATAGGAAAAGCTAACAGTTGTTTCAGTTGAAGCAAGATGGACCCACCAGGTTTTGGCTCAAGCCTACACTGCCTTTAAAAGTCAAGTGCAGTGCGATGTTGGCACAGTGCTTTTTGTTTGAACCATAGTCAGACAGACCGACAGAGGCAAAAGGGGTGTTTGGTGTACCTCTCTCAGGTAGCAGGAAATGCCTCTCAGTGCCGCACTCATTGCAGAAGGGGAGGGAAGCTGGAGAGAGAGAGAGCGAAATATAGCTGTGAGCAGCTATGAACACATTTCACAGGATGACAGAAAGGACACAAGATCAGTTGGATAACAAAGCAAGCACTATTACATTTTAGTCATTTAGCAGACCCTCTTATCCAGAGTGACTTACAGGAGCAATTAGGGTTAAGTGCCTTGCTCAAGGGCACATCGACAGATTTTTCACCTAGTCGGCTCGGGGATTAGAAACAGCGACCTTTCGGTTACTGGCACAACGCTCTTAACCACTAAGCTACCTGCCGCCCTATCATGTAGGAACTATCCTCCTTTATGTGCAATCAGTGAAAGCATTACCATGTTTATCTCTCAATATCACAAGGATGATGCAAGTGAAGTTTAGTCTAGTGCTGTAGGTTGGTTATCTTTGAATGCAGCAGGTAATCATTCTTAAAGTAATTACTTAATGTATTGAGTTTATACCAATTCTGGGGTCAATTTGACTAATGGTTTCTATTTGTGAAATATTTTCAGCATTAGTGTATTGGTATCTTGCTGTTATCTTTGAATTCTGGGACTTAATTTTGTCGAAATCTGTTTGCGTAAATTATTTAAATCTCAGTCGGTTCACTCCACATTAGCATTCCAAAATACTTAAATAAACCCTCACAACTGTAATACGCTGACTGAGCAAGCGGCAGGACTTGCAGGATAAAATATCCACTTTTCACTACGTTCAGACCACATACAGTGCATTCGGAAAGTATTCAGACCCCTTTACTTATAACACATTTTGTTATGTTACAGCTTTATTCTAAAATGGATAAAATTGCTATTTCCCTCATCAATCTACATACAATAGCCCATAATGACAAAGCAAAAACAGGTGTTTAGAAATTTTTGCAAATGTATAATAACAAAAAACAGAAATATCACATTTACATAAGTATTCAGACCCTTTACTCAGTACTTTGTTGAAGCACCTTTGACAGCGATTATAGCCTCGAGTCTTCTTGGGTATGACGCTACAAGCTTGGCATACCTGTATTTGGGGAGTTTCTCCCATTCTTTTCTGCAGATCCTCTCAAGCTCTGTCAGGTTGGATGGGGAGTGTCACTGCACAGCTATTTTCAGGTCTCTCCAGAGATTTTTGATCGGGTTCAAGTCCGGGCTCTGGCAGGCCACTCAAGGACATTCATAGACTTGTCCCGAAGCCACTCCTGTGTTGTCTTGGCTGTGTGCTTAGGGTCGATGTCCTGTTAGAAGGTGAACCTTCGCCCCAGTCAGAGGTCCTGAGGTCTGTGGAGCAGGTTTTCATCAAGGATCTCTCTGTATTTTGCTCCGTTCATCTTTCCCTTGATCCTGACTAGTCTCCCAGTCCCTGCCACTGAAAAACATCCCCACAGCATGATGATGCCACCACCATGCTTCACCGTAGGGATGGTGCCAGGTTTCCTCCAGACGTGACGCTTGGCATTCAGGCCAAAGAGTTCAATCTTGGTTTCATCAGACCAGAGAATCTTGTTTTTCATGGTCTGAGAGTCCTTTAGGTGCCTTTTGGCAAACTCCAAGCGGGCAGTCATGTGCCTTTTACTGAGGAGTGGCGTCCGTCTGGTCACTCTACCATAAAAGCCTTATTGGTGGAGTGCTGCAGAGATTGTTGTCCTTCTGGAAGTTTCTCCCATCTCCACAGAGGAACTCTGGAGCTCTGTTAGAGTGACCATCGGGTTCTTGGTCACCTCCCTGACCAAGGCCCTTCTCCCCCGATTTCTCAGTTTGGCCAGGCGGCCAGCTCTAGGAAGAGTCTTGGTGGTTCCAAACTTCTTCCATTTAAGAATGATGGAGGCCACTGTGTTCTTGGGGACTTTCAATGCTGCAGACATTTTTTGGTATCCTTCCCCAGATCTGTGCCTCGACAAAATCCTGTCTCTGAGCTCTACGGACAATTCCTTCTACCTCATGGCTTGGTTTTTGCTCTGACATGCACTCTCAACTGTGGGATCTTATATAGACAGGTGTGTGCCTTTCCAAATCATGTCCAATCTATTTAATTTACCACAGGGGGACTCCAATCAAGTTGTAGAAACATCTCAAGGATTATCAATGGAAATAGGATGCACCTGAACTTAATTTTTAGTCTCATAGCAAAGGGTCTGAATACTTATGTTAATAAGGTATTTCTGTTTTTTCTAAAAAAAACTGTTTTCGCTTTATCATTATGGGGTATTGTGTGTAGATTAATAAGGAAAACATTGAATGTAATCAATTTTAGAATAAGGCTGTACCGTAACAAAATGTGGAAAAAGTCAAGGGGTCTGAAAACTTTCCGAATGCACTGTAATAGGGCAACAATATGTGATTATACAGATATACTAAACAAGATATTTCACATTGTTCGTCTGCATAATTTAACAATGATTTGCATTAGACCAAGTCCACTTGATCAATAGTTATTGCTCTAGTATCCTATGATGCCACTGGTGCCAATGACATCTATAGTGCCACCAACTGGTCTGGTGCAGCCATCTATGGTTGCAGTGACTTTATATTCACACAGCTTATGTTTTGAATGCAGCAACTATTAAAGACTGATGTAATGAGTAAATAAAAAATCTGGAGTGAATCTAACGTGGTTAATGAGGAGAAGATGATTGCAGATGATTTTGAGCATTAGCGTTACATATGCAAACGATTAGTTGTTAATAGTTTCCTTGTTTTTTTAGATATCAACACCAAATTCAGTTTGACTTTCAGACGTCCATGATAGCGATGACAAGTTTCAAGTTGATAGGACACTGTGGAGTGGATTAACATTGGTTTAAATGGACACGTAATATCCCATTTTTGATTTGTCAATAACTCAGCCATCTTTTGACCAAGCTTTTCTTAAACCAAGTTAAGACATTTACCATGGGCCTTCATTCCAAATTGGTGCATTTTGGTCCTGTGGTTCATGAGAAGACGTATGTGCCAATATGCATCTACTGGTATAGTGTGGCCATCTTTGAATGCATCAATGTTATTTTCTCAAACTCTTTAGGGACTATTGTGAAGTCCAAAGACCACATTTTGAGTGAATCTGACTTTTAGTCCATGAGAAGATTTTTTATGATTATTTTAAGCATTACAGTTACAGTCAAAAAAGTGAATTTTTGATCGTTTCCTTATTTTTTAAGATATCAATGCCAAACTTAACATGGTTCATCACAGTAATGTTTTTGATAACCCTAAAATGTTTGAAGTTGATAGGCCATTTTGGAGTGGATTTACAAAGGATTTAAATGGACAGGTAAAATCTGATTTCCTGATTTATCAATAACTCAGCCATCTCTTAACCAATCCCTTAGCTTTTCTCAAACTAAGTTAAGAGACGAATGAGAATACATTTTTCAAAAATTTCCAAGATGGAGGAAAATCTATCATGAGAGACCTTTGGGTCCTTGAGACAAATTTGTTCAGCATGAGGAACGACATCTACATACAAAGTTTCAAGTCTCTAGGTCAAAAGGGTTTAAGTGAGACTGCTTATAACAGCGCCCAGTATAGGCCAATCGGTGCAATTATTTTTGACCAAGTTACTCATGACCTCTAGTTTCTGTGTGCCAAATAAAAAAAGTATATGAAAACGAAAATAATAAGAATTCGGAGAATAACAATTGGTTTCACAGCTTCGCTGGGCACACAATATCAAGTGCACCTATAGGCTATTTAGTGTGGTCTCAATACAGTGCCTTGGCGTTTTTCCTATTTTGTTGCATTACAACCTGTAATTTAAATGGATTTTTATTTGGATTTAATGTAATGGACAGACACAAAATAGTCTAAATTGGTGAAGTGAAATGAAAAAAACTAATAACGGAAAAGTGGTGCGTGCATATGTATTCACCCCCTTTGCTATGAAGCCCCTAAATAAGATCTGGTGCAACCAATTACATTTTTAGTCATTTAGCAAACGCTCTTATCCAGAGCGACTTACAGTTAGTGAGTGCATACATTTTAATTTTTTATACTGGAATCGAACCCACAACCCTGGCGTTGCAAATGCCATGCTCTACCAACTGAGCTACATCCCTGCCGGCCATTCCCTCCCCTACCCTGGATGACGCTGGGCCAATTGTACGCCGCCCCATGGGTCTCCCAGTCGCGGCCGGCTACGACAGAGCCTGGATTCGAACCAGGATCTCTAATGGCACAGCTAGCACTGTGATGCAGTGCCTTAGACCACTGCGCCACTCAGGAGGACAATTACCTTCAGAAGTCACATAATTACTTAAATAAAGTCCACCTGTGTGCAGTCTAAGTGTCACATGATCTTAGTATATATGCACCTGTTCTGAAAGTCCCCAGATTCTGCAACACCACTAAGCAAGGGGCACCACCAAGCAATCGGCACCATGAAGACCAAGGAGCTCTCCAAACAGGTCAGGGACAAAGTTGTGGAGAAGTACAGATCAGGATTGGGTTATAAAAAAATATCAGAAACTTTGAACATCCCACGGAGCGCCATTAAATCCATTATTAAAAAATGGAAAGAATATGGCTCCACAACAAACTTGCCAAGAGAGGGCCGCCCACCAAAACTCACAGACCAGGCAAGGAGGGCATTAATCAGAGAGGCAACAAAGAGACCAAAGCTCCACAGCGGAGATTGGAGTATCTGTCCATAGGACCACTTTAAGCCGTACACTCCACAGAGCTGGGCTTTACGGAAGAGTGGCCAGAAAAAAGCCATTGCTTCAAGAAAAAAATAAGCAAGTGTTCGCCAAAAGGCATGTGGGAGACTCCCCAAACATATGGAAGAAGGTGCTCTGGTCAGATAAGACTAAAATTGAGCTTTTTGGCCATCAAGGAAAACGCTATGTCTGGCGCAAACCCAACACCTTTCATCACCCTGAGAACACCATCCCCACAGTGAAGCATGGTGGTGGCAGCATCATGCTGTGGGGATGTTTTTCATTGGCAGGGACTGGGAAACTGGTCCGAATTGAAGGAATGATGGATGGCGCTAAATACAGGGAAATTCTTGAGGGAAACCTGTTTCAGTCTTCCAGAGATTTGAGACTGGGACGAAGGTTCACCTTCCAGCAGGACAATGACCCTAAGCATACTGCTAAAGCAACATTCGAGTGGTTTAAGGGGAAACATTTAAATGTCTTGGAATGGCCTAGCCAAAGCCCAGACCTCAATCCAATTGAGAATCTGTGGTATGACTTAAAGATTGCTGTACACCAGCGGAACCCATCCAACTTGAAGGAGCTGGAGCCGTTTTACCTTGAAGAATGGGCAAAAATCCCAGCGGCTCGATGTGCCAAGCTTATAGAGACATACCCCAAGAGACTTGCAGCTGTAATTGCTGCAAAAGGTGGCTCTACAAAGTATTGACTTTGATGGGGTGAATAGTTATGCATGCCAAGTTTGATGTTTTTCTGTCTTATTTCTTGTTTGGTTTCACAATAAACATATTTCCATCTTCAAGTGGTCATTGGCATACTCATTTTTATTCGGATAGATAAAGTGATCTACAAAACAGCACTTTGTCGCAATGCTTATTCTAGAAACAAACTGTACAAACCCGGGAAAGATGTGACTCCGATGCATATGGGGATATCATTGTTTCGTTTCTTTGACATTCAGAGGCTGAGCTACAACCTTCTATAGCCGAGGAGACAAAAACATTTGACTTTGCTTGGGAAGTAATCTAATTCTGTCACGATCAATTGATGAAGCTATTCACTTTCTGTACAAAAGAAGATGTTTAAACCCAGACAGCTTTTAGGGAAACACTTGTGGCCTTCTCTCATTGGGTTAAGCGACTGAAGAAGAGTAGCCAGCAGTTAAAGCTTACATTTATCTGCATCGGTAGGCATACTCTGTATGGGGTGGAAAGTTAGGCCTATCTTTTTAAAGTACCATGCTCAGATTCCTAACGACGTTTCAGATTGAATTATTTGGAAACAGGGACAATTTCGTTGCAAACAAGACACACTGATTTGGCATTGGAGAAATATGATAAGATGAACACATAGGCCATTCTTAGCCTGTAATTTCCATAATTTGTGTGGTATTAAAAAATATTATGCTAATATGTAAAAAGGTTTACACTTTGTATTAATTATTATTTTGGGTTTAGCATAGTTTTTTTTTTTTCAAGCGTTACGGGAGGGTTTAGGTAAAATATATTTTGCTGAAGAGAGGGCCATCAATTTTCAGAGAGGTCCGATTTCTTCTTGTAACCCTTATTATAAATAATGCTCACTCCCTTATCCCTTTTTATTCTAATCTGCCTGTATCTATCTTCTCATCGCTGGTGGTTTGAATCTGACATTTTAACATGTTTTGACTTGGTTCTGTTGGCTTTGTTTTGTCTCTCTTTTCCATCTTATTCTTAACACTCTACTCTCACCCCGGCTTCGGGCCTTTCACCATGACTCATATCATGTTATACCCTTTACGTCTTCCTGCGATCCCTCGTACTGGCTCCCCCTCACGGACTCGTTCTAGTCGTCATCTAGCGTTTTCTGCACTTCCATCCCCAGACTACACATGTTTTTTCTCGCTTTTCTTCATTCCGTTATCTGTCTGCTTTTATTGTTCCGCGCTCCATTCTCTGTCTGCACTTTCGTGCGTTCTCTCTATCCTCGCTATCTACGTTTCCCCATCCCCCTGATTTTAGGCCTACTTCTAGTACCCACTGCGCCAGCTATGTTGCTCCTACTAAAGCTTTGCTTATTTGTCCCTTTGTACGGCAGTGTATGGGGAAGAGATGACTCAAGAAGAAGAACTTATGATGTGAGAGAAATTACTGAACAAGTCCAATAAAGTGAACTCCATCCCCCCTCCAGCCCTCCCTCCCCCTCATCCCCCTCTCCCTCACAGGCGGTGGGTGTTCCAGACAAATGTTGAAGCGCTTGGTTTGGTCGGGCTTCACGCGGCGCAGGGCCACCCGTGACTCTCCGATGAACTCGTTATGCGTCAGCTTGTCCTCGTCACACACAGACACCCTGACGGATGGATGGATGAGAGACAGAAGGAGGGAGAGAGAGAACACACACAAGTTAAGCAGAGTTGGTCACTTGTGTCTAACTAACTAACAGTCATGACTAAGGGCTCTAACAATCTGTATGAGGAGAGACGGAGAGAGACCTTTGGATGCGAGAGACGAGAGGAGAAGAAGCCGAAGAGAAAAGAAGGAGAGGAGAGTAGAGAGAGAGAGGCAGCAGGAGAGGGAGAGATCTAATCAATTGTAATCGAAGAGGAGAGACGAGCAGTCATGAGGCCTGAATCATAGGCAGGAAGACACTGAGGAGATGACGAGAGATGAGGATAAGGGCTCCGGATCATGATTGATGAGAAGTAGACGAGAGCATATGAGAGGTATACGGTGATAGGAGGGAAGAGAGAGAATGCAGACGGAGAGAGGCGGGAAGACTTAAGAGAGAAGAGAATGAGTGGACCTGAGATCGTAACAGAGAGACGCGTCGCGTACGAGAGAGGAAGACATATACAAGGTAAGACGTGGCAACATTCAAACATAGTCGGTCATGACTAACCTAACTCAATCATGGATTGACTAAACACATTGGAGCAGGAAACGTGGCACATAGCAGCTGATTGAAAAGGAAGCACAGCCTGTGAGCGGACCGGTAATTGTAGCTGTTGTGACTTAGCGTGTTAGCCAATGTCCCGTACCGCCTCTAGCTCCAACAGCGAGAACATTAAAAAACGGGCACCTACTTCCTGCAGAGAACAAGTGATCCGCAACGTCCTGGTATAATTTAACCAGTCGCAAAGTTTTGCAGGCTGAAAAAAGTGAGACTTCCCAAATCCACACCTCAGGTATAATGCTTGTTAACTCGTTATAAGCATGCATCAGCCTTTATAATGTCTTATTATGAAGGTTTACAACATTGTTATGCCCTCTGTACACAGTTTCAACTGAGCATCGTGGCACCGGCTCAAATGGCTGGTATTGCGGTCATGAAGTAATCATATGATAAGACGTTGAGCGGCTCATGATGCTCATGACAAGTCTTAAAATGCATTACAACTGTATCATAATGCATAATGTGGAATGTAGACACAACATACATTATGGGCTAGGCTGGTTAGTCGCATGTGGTTGATGCGCATAGTGAAAAATGACTTAACAAATATGATGCTGTGTCTGAGATAAAGATACACAGGAATGATAGAAGTATAATTACAGTGGCACAAATAATGCGTGGACACCAAATGGTGAGCCACGGAAGGCGGAGAAACGACACTGGGAGATGCAGGAGCGTCGAAGGTGCAGCATGCTAGGCTAATCTAATCCATATTTATGGGACTCTGCCATTGTTTATTTTGATTAACATGTACATCACATTTAGCAAGAACGCTATCTTAGCCAGAAGCAGACTTACACATAATAGGGGCACAACTTATGAGAGCCAGTGGGGACAACCACTTTTTTTTTATGGGGGGGGGGGGGGGTAGAAGGATTACTTTACTATCCAGTATTCCTTCATCGCCCGAAGTCACCTAAATTAGACAGAAACACACATGGAGAAAGAAGTGGGTGAGAGAGAAAGAGAGAGGGTGGCGAGGTGATGAAAAGTGAACCGGAAAGAATGTGGGGTGAGAGAAAGGAAAAGGAAGACTCACATCTGGGCAGATAGAGAGAGAGATGGAGGATAGGGGTAAGACCGGTAGAGTGTCATTACAAGGAGAGAAGTAAAGCTGGAGTGGCCGATTGTAATGCACATAGAAGTAACCGGGCGGCCGGTGCCCCTATGGGTACTGCCGCTCCAATGTAACACAGAGAGGAACCACGGGACTGTTCTTTATCTCGCGGCGGTAAGGTCGGCGAGCGTAGAGATACAGAGTAGACCAGAGTACCACCGAATGACTTGAGAACACGATGAAGGAAAGAAAGGACAGGCTTAGAGCACTCTATCGGCTGGCCTACGAACCCCAGAACAGGAGAGGGTAACAAAAGATGACACTCGCTTGTCAAGGGTAAAGAACTCGAGGTATGGGGAGTCCGCCTCACATGGGGCGCCTCACATTGTACCCGATCCGGTCGACAAGGCAGCAAAAAGATTGAAAGAAGGCACGGGACACTAGGGGAGGTTAGCGAGTTGCGGCGAAGTACTGATACATCCTTTGTGGGGGGGTAAGGAGATCGGAGGAGCTTTCACACCCCCCACCGCACTCGGCACATTGAGAGAAATTCGGCGAAGCCATAAGGGACTTGATTACCGAGGAGGACGCGAAGAAATGGGTTAGAGGGGGCAAGAGGAGTACGGAGACGTACATGCGTGATTTTGACGTTCCAAGTGCAATCGGACTGGAGGGCAAAACCAACCGGGAATGCAAGTCATATAGGCGAACGCCTGACACCGGAATCAGGATAAAAAAGCAAAATTTTTAATGTAAGAGCGGCAAAGCTCAACGTAGAAGCTACTTGCCGTTTTGTTACTTGCACCCGACCGCTTAATACTGAGATAAGCCTTAGGACGTTTAGCGCGACCGCATCCGCTGAAACAAAAAACAGAGAAGAAGAGACAGGGAACTTAAGAACAATGACGGTGAGAGGCAATAATAGCTCCCATCAAAGTGGGTTTCCGGCGACAAGGTAAGCTGAAAAGTTCGTCCTTAACGATAGTCACGTTGACGAGATAGGTGACGACGGAGCGGCGACGTAGGAGGGAGGAGCGAAAGTGTAGGGCCATAAGTTCGACGATTTTGATTGTCTCAATAAGAAGATACACTGGACAGCAGGAAGTGAATTTGTGAGGGTGATCCAGCGAGAGGAAGGACCAGGTTGGAGCGGGGCAGAGAGATTACGGGGAACGCTGTCGAGAACACGTGGTAACGGAAAATGCAGATTAGGTAGACAAGGGGACGGCGGGAGTTGCCAAAAGGGAGTGCATAAATATCCATCCTAAGCACACGGGAAGTTGTATGACGAGGCGTACCATGAGACAAAAGCAAACAGAGGAAATCAGGTCAGAAAGGATGGAACTGAGAGCGGAGACGAAAAGGGGCAACATTTAGTAGCGTGAGGTAGATTAGAAGATACGGCGGGGGTATACGACAGCCGAGAAGTAGGACTACGCCCTGCGACAGATCAGCAATACTGTTACAGATGGTCATACTATCAGAAAACACATCTGGTGAGGTAAGAGCAAGCTGTTGCTAAGGTTACGGAGTGATGGTTTAGAATAAGGGGTAGGGTAAGGGTTAAAGGTTAGAGTTAGAGTGTCCAAAAGGGAATTAGTAGATAGTTGGAAATGTTTATATGATGATACCAAATAAAGTAGGTTAGCCTTCTGTGTTTGTAGTGCACAGGCTTTGTGTAAGTGTGCAAGTGTGTGTATGAGCGTGCATATGTGTGTTTGCTGTAAAGAAGAGTGAATTGTGAGGGGTGTGTGTGTGATGAAGTGTGGTGTGGTGTGGAAGCGATTGAACAGGTGGTGTGGTGTGGTGATGAGAGAGAAGAGAGGAGAGAGAGGAGAGGAGAGAGAAAGGTCTGAAAAGAGAGAGGTAGGATGTAGGGGATGTAGAAAAACGAGGGAGATCCAAACTACGGGAGACGTAAGAAGTGCTAGCAGACCCGACGGTCTGGAGTTGTTCCTCTTTCAATCTGAAAAGTCACATTATTCAAGAGGACCAAGACGGACCAAATTGCCTTGAGCTGGTCTCTAACGAGCCCGCGCCGGAGACTGCGGAAGGAATAAGTTACAAATACGGTTGTTTCGCAAACTATGGCACAAGATCTCCTATAGTAAATGGCACAACTTTTGACCAAGGACGCCATAGTCTGGCTCTGTCAAAAGTAGGGCACTATGTAGGGAGCTAGGGTGCCATTTGATGCGGACCTTATGGAAAATGGAGATGGTCGAGCGTCAAGCGATGGAGCGGGCCAGTTGCCCCGGGAAACCAATCGGAATAGGCTATTGAAGGCTCCAGATGCGTAATTGTATACTATATTGTCTTATGAGCCCTCAGAAACCAAGCTAAACCTTATCCTTGTACATCAGTCCCTAGAGAATACCTGGGAAACAAGAACAACACACGCACAGATGAGAGCAGAAGATGCGAGCTCACAGAGCAGTAGACACACCAGAAGACGACGAGGAGAGCGGTAGAAGAGGGGCAGCAAGATGAGAAGAGAGAAGGAAAGAGAGAGAAACGAGAGGAAGGGAGAGGAGAGGAGAAGAGAGAGGAGAAGAGAGAGAGACCTAAGCGAGACAGAGAGAGGAGGAGTGAAAAGTATAAAGAAAGATGAAGGGGATGATGGAGAAAGTGAAGTGACACGAAGGAGAAAGTGAAGATGGAGAAGAAGAAGGAAGCGCGAAGAAGGGAAGCCCATGAAGGAGAGGGAAAAGAGTACGGTAGGACTAAAATGAGAAGATCGAAGTTTGACTTATACGGGAGAGGGCGAGCGAGGAAGAAAGAATGTACGGGAACCGAATTGGTACCTATAGAATCTTGAGAGCCTAATGGACTAGGTCAACAAGAGAGAAATCAATAGAGATGCAACCATGAGGAGGAGAGGGAGAGAGAACACGCTGAGAGGAGAGAAGAAGAGAGGAAGAGAAGGAGAGAGAGCAGAGGAGAGGAAGCAGTGGCGACCCGTCATTCAGGGCAGTTTTGAGCCCCAATTTCTTTTGGGGGGGCTTGCCTGTTTTGCATGTTATTTTGGCATTAATACGTGTCCCATATCAGTTTGCAAACAATGTAAAAAAATATATATACAGTATATCATTGAGTTAATAAAGCCGCATACAAACATACTATTTTTTGTTTTCTTGAGTAAGGCAGCTCCAAAATGCAGGTGTTTCAGCCTAGCTCAGTGCTTACTGTGGTAGTGGGGCAAGTCAACAGAAAATACGGTGCGTTGCGCTGTGATTGGCTCAGTGTTCTGCACTCATGGAGACACTACTTTACCGCCAAGTCTAAGGATAGAGCTAGAAAATGTAAGCCCCTTGGGTGCTGTCATAGAGTTACATTAGAAGTGCCCATCCAAGAAGGCTCAAGGTCATTGGCTACAGATAAAATGACGTCAAATCACGTGATATGTACAGTAGCTTTGATTGGACTGATCATGTCAACATCATACTTTCAAAATCTTAGCTAGCAGTTATCATGAATCAAGTCGACAATCTACTGGCGAATCCTTTTTAATCCTTTTCATATGATGTCACGACTTCCGCCGAGGCTGCCTCCCCTCCTTGTTTGGGCAGGTTTCGGCGTTCATCGTCACCGGCTTACTAGCTACTGCCGCTCCCATTCTCATCACTCCACTTGTCTTGTCTTGTCAATCACACACACCTGGTGCTAATCCCCTAATTAGTCTGTGTATAAGTGTTCCCTCTGCCCCCTTGTCTTTATGAGTGATTGTTCTATGTGGGAGGAGAGTAGCTCGGTTGAGATACTCTCTCATTTATTTTGCCAGGATTGATTTTCCCCTGTGTCATTACATTTATTGTATTTTCTGAGACTGTGTTTGGTCAGGGAGGATTGTTTCCCCTGTACCTGTTTCAATTGCCGTTGTAGGCGCATTGTATGTCTGGAAGGAATACATCTGCATCCGGTTATTTTACTCCTGCGCCTGACTCCGTACATTATTCACCACATATGAAGAGAAATAATGAAGAGAAATTATAGATTAAACATATCGGTGCTCATCGGCCATTGGACATAAACATTACACAACAAGTTGGAAATCGCTAATTCAACAATGAGTGGTTTGGAAGGAATCGGTGACAGTGGCTAACTGCAAGCATTGCAAAGCAATCACTAGCCTGCTATTCAGTGGAGTGGCTGTGTGGTCCCAAATTTGGGATTAAGGGGCTCTTTTCCTAGTCTAAAATGATAAACATTCAACATTGGCCATGCTGTCAATGAAGCATGATTTGTGCCGCGCTCAAAACAACTGTTAACTCGGAATTGCGAAAACTTGATTTCAGTGAGTTCAAGACAACTGGGAAGTTGAATATTGTAAGAGCTTTTATTGTCTGCTTATATGCCCCCTTTATTTATCCTACGGTTCTGACTTGGTGTACAGGGAGAACACTGTAAGAACGGCCCATGTTCTGAATTCTGTCGCTGTACATTTTAAAAGTGCTAAACAAATAGTTATATTGACTATGTCCGTCCTAGCTCGCTCATGAATGTCTTAATCGAAATTACAGATTGCCTCTTATCCGCTTGTCGTCCCCTTATGCCATAGTTTGTACATCTCAATTGTCATTAGAAACCACATTTGTTTAAGCAAGTCAGCCATATCAGCTATGTTTTTTTAAAAGGTAGTAAATGAGGCTGAATGAACTGTTTTGCTGCCAGACAAGGCTCCGCTGATAGCCAGGTGTAGCAGTTGTGTTGTGGCTTTGCTGGCATGAATCCCACTTTTTTGTTTTTTCTGCCCCACCAAGAATTACATGCTAAAATCGCCACTGGAGAGGAGGCAGGGAAAGAGAGAGAGAGATATCGGGGGAGGCAGAGAGGGAGTCAGTGAGACAGAGATAGAGAGAGAGGCAGAAAAAAATAATTGAGAGGGGGGAGGAAGGGAGCGGTACTCTATTGCCCTCAGAATACATTATCAATTTCCTATTACCGTGACGGTGGCTGACATTTCCAGCTCCTTGGAGAACACAATGTCTGTGGCGGTGATAAAAGGCTGTTTGGATTTAATCCGTGCGCTGGGAGAGTGGCACAAACCGACGCTTCAATGTCCAATCAGTGAAATACGCCACTCCAAACATCCAAATTGACATACACTATATATACAAAAGTATGTGGACATCCCTTCAAATTAGTGGATTCGGCTATTTCAGCCACACCCGTTACTGACGTGTATAAAATCGAGCACACAGCCCTGACCTCAATCCCATCGATCACCTTTGGGGTGAATTGGAACATCGACTGCGAGCCAGGCCTAATCGCCCAACATCAGAACCACGACCTCACTAATGCTCTTGTGGCTGAATGGAAACAAGTCTCCGCAGCAATGTTCCAACATCTAGTGGAAAGCCTTCCCAGAAGAGTGGAGGCTGTTATAACAGCAGAGGGGGGACCAACTCCATAATGCCCATGCATTTGGAATGAGATGTTCACATACTTTTGGTCATGTAGTGTATACAATGGTGGTTTTTACATTAATTGACACATTCAGTTTGGTGTCAGCCACTCCAATATATTCCCTGATACAGATTCTGTATGCAGGTCATGGACAGGTAGAGAAGGTAAAACTAAATTCGATAAGCCCCTAGATTATTAAGATTCTTGAGAGGAGAGATGAAGAGATAAAGCAAGAAAGCTCCTGAACAATTGTCACTGATGAATATCATACGATCACAGCACCTCCACTCCCCACCGAGAGCCATGAATCTCAATATATCTCATTAATCTCTATACAGTGCCTTCAGAAAGTATTCACACCCCTTTACTTTTTTACATTTTGTTGTGTTACAGCCTGAATTTAAAATTGATTAATTTGAGATTTTTTGTAACTGGTAATACCCCGTAATG